GGTCCGTATGAGTGGCTGTGTGGCTGACTGTGTGGCTGACCGTGTGGCTGACTGTGTGGTGGGCCGTCTGTCTGTCTGTCTGTCTCTGGATGGATGGATGGATGGATGCATAGCCGCAGACACGACATATGAATGGATGGATGGATGGATGCACGTGTGTGTGGGGGTATCTGTCTGTCTGTCTGTCTGTGTGTCTGTGACTTGTTGATAGTCGTAGTGTTGATAGCAGCTGGGAGGGAAGACTCACAATCGCATACGATTCAACGCACTGCTTCAAGAACACATGTCTCGCGTCCCCCAAATCCAGAGGACTACCCAGACAGGTACATCGGCACTCACGAGGCTATCTACAATCATACTTGAAAAGTGGATCGAAATCGAAAGGCTTCGGTAGGGATGGAGGATGATAGTAAGAGATCGATCGAATCGAAAGGCTCACAGACATATCATATGATACCTCTTTCGATTCCTCTCTATGTCCCCCGCCGTGCCATCCCTATGCTGACGGCTACAAGCGGACCGACCCCGTCATCCTCTGGGGCTTATGGCTCTTCCGCTCATTCTCGGCATTCCTGCTGGCCACGCTGCTCTCCCAATGGTGGGATGGACAAGGGGTGGATAACAAGGCGGTCCTCACTGCAAATATCGGCCGTGGTGACCACCCTCGCTGTGACCGTCTGCTGACAGATGACATCACAGACGATTTGGGCATCGCTGTCGACTATCGCTACGATGGGGACAATCTCAACAATGCTGCTGATGCAATTGACTGTCGTTATGTCTTTGTGAGCGGCTGGCGAGCCGAGGAAAGCGTGGCTGCTTATCTGCATGTGGCTTGGCATGTGGGTTTGGGGTACGGTTACATCAATCTGTGGACAACCGAGGCACCTGCTGCTGATCGGCCTGCATCACTCGCTGTCCGCTTCCCCATTTCGGAGCCCCTGTGACGCCGTGTGCTGCGGCGGTACAATCTGGAGAGTGACGTCATCGACAGGGGGACGGTGGTGGGTTTGGTCCTGACTGCCGAGTAGGTGGTGTTGCTGTATGCTGGCCGGGCGGCAGTGTGTGAGGAGTGGAGGGGGGCGAAGTAGAGCCCGTCAAGAGGTACATAAAATCTGTTTGAAGGGACTCAGGGGTGAGTGTGAGTGTGTGTGTGTGTGTGCGTGTTGAAAGACTACTTCCACACATCCATGTGTGTGTCTGTGTGGTAGACCCTCCCTTCTGCCTTGGTTTGAATTTTCCTGTTCAAGCCGACCGCAAACCCACCAAGTCACATTGTTCACACCAACAGCCAATTCCTGTCCGCAGCTCTGTCCCCTCCACTGGCAAACCACAACACATACTCCTTCTCTCGCACACAGTGTGACCCCCCCCTCCCCCCCTCCCCGCCCCCCACTCACTGTGCGGATACAAGACCCAAAAATGCAAACACAATACTTTTGAAACTGGAGCTTCTGTCGAAGTAAGTCCAACAAAGTGTCTTGTCTGTCTCACGAACGAGTGTGAGTATGTGTGTTGGAGAAGGTGGGCTCTGGCGGTCTCTGGGTTTTGTGTGGAGCGGTCAGCGAAGGATTTTATAAGTTGATAGCATGTGCATGTGTTTGACTTCCAAATGGACTGACTCATGGCCTGGCTGCAGAGATGTGCGTGTTTCATTCGCGGCCATGAACGAGTACGAGCACTTAATTTTGCGCCTTTCCAATCCCTTCTGTCTCTATGCGATGGCCACACACAACCAGCCCTCATTCTTGATAAAAGAAGGTACGTAAAAACATCACTCCGTGAGTAGACAACCATGCACTCACGCCAGTCACGAGCATCACACTCTTGGCCTATCTGGTTGGCCAATGGCCATCTGCCTTTGCCTATATGACAAGGCATCCACCCTCACTCTCCATCCGCCACACCTTGCCCCCCAGCTGCCGCCCTAGCACTCTCATCACGGCATTGCGCGTCCTATCGTGGGGGGCAGACTCCGTCGTGTACACATCGACAGTCTGAGAACGGTCAGCTCCCCAATCCGCCAGTCGAATGACCGCCGTGTGCCCCTCACTGACCGCCTCACTGCCCAACACACCAGCCGCAAATGCCATCGACAATTATACTTCTGGTCGAACACGGCCACTCCGTTCCCCCACTGTGCCGCATCGCTGGGAGGGGCCGCCCGCAGCTGACACACACGTAGAGATGCCGCAGAAGCCGGACACCAAGACGACCAGTCTCTGGAGAAAGTGATGTAGCGGCCGTCACGAAGCCAATTAAAGACGCTGAATGCCACCAAAGAAGCGTAATTGCGGTACGTCCAGCCGTCCAGCTGTGTGGGCGGGTTGGCGGGGTCGACTGTGTCACGAGGGAAGAGGGGGCTGGCAGAGGTGAGGAGGGCGGGGAGACGGTAGCCCGAGGCAGTGTGGAGGATCCAGTCGCCGTCCATCAGCTGTCTTTGCTGGCCTCTATCATGGACAGTCACCCCTCGGCTGAGTATCTTCCACTGGCGGACCGCCTCGGTCTCGCCGATGAAGCCCCGGCCCGTCTGGCTGCCGAACACCTCGAAATGCCCATCACCCAGCACCACTGGCCGCTTGCCGCGTAGGTGATACAGCAGCTCCAAATGAGGCCGCCACCTCGCCAAGTCGCGGCCATCCTCGAGCATCATTAGCCGTCGTGTGATGGCCACAATGACGGCCGCGTCCTGGCTCAGCTTGGGGATGGCCACCTGCACGAAAGCACCAAATATGTCTTCCACCACGGCGGGCAGCAGTCGTGTGAGGATGGGCAGCAAGACGGCGGTTGTGAATTGTGTGGGATGGGCGTCGATGAGGGCCTCCAGCTGTGAGTAGCTCCTGACATACTCGGCGATGATGACCGCTGCCTCCTCAGGCACATCAGAGGCACTGATGGGGTCGTCATGCTGCTGAGGGGGGGAGGTGCTGCGGTGACAAGTAGCCAATGTCTGCAACACAAACCCGCCGACCAACAGGCATAGTGAATGAATGTTTACTGGCGCTCCCCTCTTTCTTCACCGTGAGTAAGGCCTTCAGCCATCGCCACGGGTTTAACATGTCGACGTCCTGATCGGGTCACAACCGCCTGTGAGTCGCAGGTCTGCCACACACGCACACGCGCGCGCACACAGAGAGAGAAAGATCACATTTCCCTGTCATCCTCCATGCCCTCGGTCCTTCTTGTCCTCCCTTCTCACCTAACAATACGCCCAGATCAGCTGCAGCCAGAGCGATGATGCCGACATCTGTGCCGATTGATATCATCACAGCGCGTCTTTGTGTATATGTCACACAGACCCAACACCGCCCTGTTGTACCGGAGAGAAGAAAGGGGGGAGATCTGCACGCCACAAGCTCACAGACCGATCGGCGGTGGCCTTTGGAGCATTTGGAGCCTTTGCAGCTCACTGGAGGGTGAGATGGCAGCCAGAGAGGCAGAAGAATCCAAAAGAAGCTTCAAATAGCGGCTGCTGCTTCGTTTTTGGTGGCCGGCCTGCAGACCTCACCCGTCCCGCCTCAGTGCCGGGAGGTGACGACGTCCGCACAGCGAACTCATTTCATCGCTTTGTCTGCGCTTCTGTGACGGCCTCGTCGTCGCACGGCTCTCGTGACTGACTGACATCGGTGAGGCTGTGCGGTGATCATGGCGCTGCGTGCGTGCGCCCCAGATGTGTGTGCTGCTGTGTGTCTGCAGAGTCACCGCGGTTCGTGACGATTGCTGCCATCTCGCCCAGCTTTGACGGTGAGCATCCTGCCGTCCAATTCACTCGGTCTGATTCCCATGTGTGTGTCCCTCTTCATCCAGACCACTCCCTGGTGGCGATGTCGTCCCGGCCTGCCAACGGCCGGCCCCCCACCGCCCCTCGGGCAGTCCCCCCGCTGCGCAGCGCGGCCATCAGCAAGGCCGCCGACATGGCCATGTCCGTTGACCCCAACAGACGCGCCGCACTCCACTCACAAATCAATGGCAGCAATGCCGGCGAAGTGGCCGGGATCCTATTGCTCGTCGAGCAGCACATTGGCAAGGCCATCAGTCGTCTCGGCCTGGCGGACGTGTTGGCCTTCGACAGTGGCGGTGATGTGGAGGCCGGCTTGAAGGTGGTCTATGTGCTGGAGCGGGGCAGTGGCGAGGAGTGGCGGGCAATCGGGCGGTTCCTTCGGCTGGCCTTCATCTACCGGCTCACCCCTGCTAATACGACGCGGCCCCTCCGTCTGTCGGCCGACTCGCTGCCCACAGCCGCGGCCTTCTACCAGCTGCCACTGACCATTGCCCTCTACAAGATCATCGGACAGCAGCTCAGAAACAGGGTGACCAGCCTGGTGCTGCAGCAAGCCGAGGACGGACACTATCGAATCGGCGGCATGGCGCCGTTTCGTGTAGTGCCGTTGGGCGAGCTGCGCGGCGACCATCGCTATACTGAGGGCTACAAGCGGAGCGACCCCGTCATCCGCTCGGGCCCTGATTTGTATTCCTCATTCTCGGCATTCCTGCTGGACAGGCTGCTCACCTGGTGGCGCTATGTAGAGGGAGTGGACGTGAAATGTGTGGGGTCTGCACGACGCGGCGGTGACGACGGTCGTTATCGCCGTCTGCATACGGCCGACGACATCACAGAGGATTTGGGCATCGTTGTGGACCGGCGCTTCGATGGGGGCGATCTGAATGCTGATGTGGGAGACTACCGCTGTGTGATTGTGAGCGGCTTCCGGCCAAACGATACCGTCGCTGCCCATCTGATGGGGTCGGGCTCCATCAACCTGTGGACGACCGACGCACCTACTGCTGATCGGCCTGCATCACTCGCTATGCGCTTCCCCACTTCGGAGCCCCTGTGGCGCCGTCTGCTGCAGCGGTTCAATCCCGAGACCGACGTCATCGACAGGGGGAGGGTGGTGGGGTGAGGGGTGTTGCCATATCCTGGCCGGGCAGTGTGTGAGTTTTGGAGGGGGGCGGAGTGGCTTTAAATGGCTGACGTGACTGAGAATGAGTGGATGAAGGTCGAGCTCGAGAGTTACGTCATCGACAGGAAGACGGTAATTGGGTGAGGGGTGCTGACTGGCGAGTGGGTGTTGTGATGCTCTATGAAATGGGCGTCGTGCCTGGTCGAGTGCCTGCTATGGGTCAGCGAGTGTTTATGGCTCGTTTTTGTGCAGACAGACGACCTTCGACTAGTCTCATCGACTCAATGCATCGGAAGCAAACCAGTGTGAGTAGTGGAGAATGAGTGGATGAAGGGCCCTCTTGCTTTGTTGTCAGACGCAGTGACTGCGTGGCATCGCTTTTGTCAATGACTGAGTGGCTTGACCAAAGTCGCTTCGTTCCACCAGCCATACCATGGGGCGACTGGCTGGGCTGGTTGGGGTTGTTGCTGGGTGTGTTGGCGGCCTCTGTGGCTGGCGTGGCGCCTTGCGTGTTGGTGCTGGCCATCAATCAGGCCACACACACCATATGGACACAACACAATGGTATACGGCCCGTGACCAACTGAGACAGCAAGTCTTGTGTGGCTGACTTACCGAAGTCCGGGTGCACCGGCATCAGTTCTCCGACCGTGCCCGGCAGGTCCATACTTATCGTGGCTATCGACATCGTGCCCGACCAGCTGACGATTATCAATCTCGCGTGTCAGTGGTGCGCTCTCCTCCTTGATGGTCTCCTTCACTGGCCAGCACCCTCGCGTGTCGCGGGCGCGTCAGTCACTCGCAATACAAGCGACTTGCGCTCCAAAGCTGGCCCTGTGGTCCGAAGGCTGGCATGTCTGCCCATGGGGCCAGCCCTGCAGGTAGATGTCCAGCCCTGTAGTCACAAGGCCAGCCATGCACTCACAAGGCCAGCCATGCACTCACAAGGCCAGCCCTACAACCACAGGGCCAGCCCTACAACCGTAGGGCCAGCCCTGCAGCCACAGGGCCAGCCTTGTACTCACAGGGCTAGCCCTGCAGTGAGTCAAAACCCTCCAGAAGCACTTAACTCGTCACGCAGAGGCCAGCCATGTGTCTGCAAGGCTAGCCCTGTGAGTGCAAGGCTGGCCCTGTGGCTGCAAGGCTGGCCCTGTGGCTGCAGGGCTGGCCCTACGGTTGTAGGGCTGGCCCTGTGGTTGTAGGGCTGGCCCTGTGAGTACAGGGCCGGCCCTGTGACTACAGGGCTGGCCTTGTGACTACAGGGCTGGACATCTACCCGCAGGGCTGGCCCCATGGGCAGACATGCCAGCCTTCGGACCACAGGGCCAGCTTTGGAGCGCAAGTCGCTTGTATTGCAGTTGTGGCGAGGGCGGAGGAAAGGCGAAAGAATGAAACTTTTTTTCCTTCTCTCAGAATCGCCGAAATGGAAATTGACTTCCTGGCTGTTGATTTGGCGGGCTGGTCCAGGTCTCGGACGGCCGTGGGTGATTCGTTGCGTGTCGTGCGTTTGATTGTGCGTGAAAGACACGAATGTTGGGGATCCGAGATGCCTAGGACATTGCGTGAAACTGCTCGCGAATGAGTCGCCATCATTATTCCCCCATTGGCTTGTGTGGAGACTCTTTCGGCCATCATCCAATCCGTCATCCCCCCAATCATCTCAGCAATCTCATTCATTACCTGAGTGATTCGCGTCCCTTCAGCGAGGATGGGAGGCAAAGTGAGTCGTGATGTGATGCTCACCCCCGCCCCCGAGCCCTCCTCGTTCATCGCCATATGCACCAACACAAGCAGAGGCCTTTGCTTGCTGCACTTCCCGGCCGGGCTGCGCGAGAGAGCCATCGCTGTCGTGAGAACCCATTGGACAGACGGCGGCAACGTCAGTGTGGAGCAGTTCGGGGGATGCACCAAGTGAGCAAATGGAAGAGAGAGACCTCAAGAGTTGTCATTGCACCGGGTGGACATGGATGAGTGAGTGTCTGTCAGGTTGAAGCTCGGGAGTGGGATGTTCAGCACCCCGTGGAGAAGCACAAACACGGTCGGTGCGGCAGGGAGGGGTGGTGGCATATGTGTCCCTGTGTCCCTTTCTGTATGTGTGAGCGTGACGACTGTGTGGGGTGTGGATTAATGCAGGACGGTTGCGGGACTCGTGTGGCGATCGCCCGGATGCTGGCGGCCTTGCTGCACACGCTGGCGCAGGACGGCTACCTGCCCTACGCATCCACACAGATACACAGATGCAGATCCATTCAGGTGCCCGACGTGATCATCCTGAGAAGACGCGATCCTCCGCCCTACGCCCCCCCGATGGACATCAATAAACCGACCGAGGAGGACCAATATCCGTCCCACCAGCAGCATCAGCAGCAGCAGACCGAGCCCTACTTCGCCATCGGCCTCAACGACGATGACACTTTGCGGCTGATCCAGGCGCCACCCGCCCTTGTGGACGCCATCCCTTCGCTCATCCAGCAGTTCTGGGGGGGATCGTTCAAGCGCAAAGATCGAAGAGCCAACACCAACAGCCAGGTGAATGTGGTTGAGGGGATAGACAGGACGGGCCTGTTAGCGGGGAGGAGCCAGCCGGCGGATGTGGTGGACTTCCGTTTCAATGGGTCGCCATGGCATGCGGACGGAGACTCGGCTGTTACTGCACGGCAGGTACGCCCCGCCGAGATGCGGGGCATCTCCATGTACCCATCTCTCTGTCTGTCTGTCTGTCCGTGTATGTGTATGTCAGCTGATGTGTGGGCTGTTGACCCATCTGTGGCAGCTCAACTACGACCTGCTGTGTGCAGTGTCCCTGAACACCAGCTGCGGCCTCTCCACACTCATCATGGGAAAGAGTGAGGGCATCCAGGGCGACGGGCGGGACATCATGGCCCTGGCCATGAGCCGCAACGACACACTGCGGCTCTTCAATGCGCCCCAGGGCACACCCGCTGTAGGTGAGTGGGCCGACGTGCCACACGCGCGCAGGGAGTGATCAAGAACATGAACTTGTTGCTATCCACCAGTGCGTTTGTGCATTGAGCGGCATTGGACGAGAGGCATCAAGTCGACGATGGACAGCGTCAGCGGGGCCACAGCCATTCCTTGCATGGAGTTCCGGATGAACGGAAACCCTTGGTACGCAACTCCCCCCACCCCCACCCCACCCCGCACACACACACACCCCTCACCCCAACAAGCATGTGCTCTCTTGTGTGCCTTTCTTTTGTTTTCCAACTCCCACCGTATGCAGGTGGTGTTCCAAGTGGCACATGGCGTCCACCGAGGCGCGCAACATGATGGCGGCCATCCTGGAGGACCTCATGCAGAAGGGCTGGCTGCCATTGGGCAAGGCCGCCGGCAGCATCAAAATGACCGTCAAAGAGGCCGACACGTCCTTTATGGTCTTCACACAAAAGACGGACGATGATTACCACGGCAGCCGACGAGCCACTGGTCCGCTGATATGGGTCGGCCTGTTTAACCGACACCTGGTGCGTGTGGGGGGGCCGGGGAGCGTCGTGCCTCCGCAGCCGGTGCTCGAGGCCATCAGGCGCGCCCTGCAGTACTGGCCCACACAGAAACCCCCATACGAGCAGGTCGATCACCGGACCACCACACACACACAGAGAGAGAGAGAAATGTACCCACTCGGCTGCTTTTCCCCTTGTGTGCCTCTGTCTGTGCTGTGTGTATCATCAGGGGCGTCTGTCATGCTGGGAGTTTCGCCTGTCTGCCGGGTCGCCTTGGCACAGCGGCAACACCGACTGCGTGCATGCCTGTCACGTCGTGATGCGGCTCTTTGACGAGATGTATCGGTGCGGGTGGGAGGTCTGTGCGGCCGTCGACATGGCCAAGGCAATCTGGGCAAACGATCAGGGACCGGGGAGTAAGATAGACTGCGACACGTGGTTCTTTCGACAGAGATGGGGAGAGGGAGGCTGGGGTGCAGAGATGGTGAGCGGGGCGCAGTGACTGTCTTTTGGTCTCTAGGCTAGTGGACGGGACAGGGCAATGGATGCTTGCTTGGTTTGCGCGAAAACATTCAAATGAAGACAGAAGGGTCTATACCAAAAACCGTCAACCAAAACCGTCATCCATGCCCCTATCCAACACACACACGCTGGCCCTCACTCAAACAGAAATTGAAGAGATCCATTTTCGGTCAGCAAATCGCCAGCCAGCACCCTCACAACACAACCCTCCCCCTGTCGATGACATCATTCTCCAGATTGAAGCGGCGCAGCACACGGCGGGGGACATCGATCGACTTGGGGTAGCGGGGCGACCGGCTGAGACCGATCCGCAAGAGGCCGCTCGGTTGTGTGCAGCTAGATGGAGTCCCTGCCCCTGTGGCGCCGTCTGCTGCGACAATTTGAGCTTGAGAGTGACGTCATCGACAGGGGGAGGGGGAGGGGGTGAGTGTGGTGCTGGCTGGCGATTTGTGTTGTGTTGTCGTATCCTGGCCTGGCAGTGTGTGAGTAGTGGAGGGGGGCGGAGCGGCTTGAAATGGCTGACGTAACTGACTGGGTGAAGGGCCCTCTTGCTTCTTTGTCAGACTCACTGACTGCATGGCGTCGCTTTTGTCAGTGACTCATGTCGCTTCGTTTCACCAGCCATACAAACATGAGCCTCCACGAAACACACAGACACATGTGCACGTGTTGCTACTGTACATGTGATTATCAGAAGGGAATGCGTGTATGTGCGGTGGCTGACTGATTGACTTGTGAATCTTTGGCCACACACGTGGCGTGGCCTATCCCGCCACTTACTGTGCATACGCACAAAGATGGTACTCGGAGACCACACAAGAAGACACCCAGCCGCACCATTGCTGGATGTCTTCATGTGTCGGCGGTTGATATTTTGATGGATGGAGAAGTTGTTGTCTCTCGCTTCATCCATGTCATGTCTGTCTCGAGAGACAGACATGGACACAAACAACTTTGGTTGCCGGGCCGGGGTGTGAGGACATCGTCGTATTCATGGCAAAAAGACACGAAAGCCGATAGAGTCACCAAACCGCATGAACGAACCAACCAATCCAGCCATGTGGCAGTCCACACAAACCAACAGGCACTTTCAATCAATCAGCATACTCAGGTGGTGGTACCATCCTACCTACTGGGGTAGTCAGTCAGTCAGTCAGTTGATGGGGTGCGAAGGGTGTGGTGTGTGCGGGCGGGGCGCATCCGTGTGGTGTGCAGTGGGGGCGGGGCATGCACCGTGCGATCGACCGACGTGCGTGTGAGTTTTCGCGTAGGCACATTGTCTGTCAAGCAGGTGGGCTGGCACGAAACGAATGATCACCGCCCCGTTTGTCAGCCAGGTGGACAAATAGAGACAGGAAAAGGCAAAGGTGCGTGTGCGTGACGTCACCACAGATGGTGACGTCTCAGGCAGAGTGGGGGAGGGGAGGCGCTACGGTAGGTAGACGCATTCACTGACCCGGACAGGCTAACAAACACGGAACATATATGGAAAAAACAGAGATATACATACATTTAGGGGGGGGCCTAAATACATGGAAAAAACAGAGATATACATAAACAGTCGACCGACCTGCATTCCATTCCATTCAGCGCGCACCGCCCCTGCGCATTAGATAGACAGACAAATAGATACATATCGATGGGACAGGTCAAGACCCCTGGCTGGCTGGCTGGCTGGCAATTTCAAAAAGCACCCATGTCTACTCTCCTTACTGCCTGCTACAAATATACGTATGTATGCATCGATCGACTACTCACACGCACACACACACACACACACACGCAACACCAACCCACCCCCCACCATTTGTATGTAGGGGTATGTGTGGGATGGACGGAGGTGTGCGAAAGACCCACTTTGGTGCCTCCCCTGTGCATAGCGACAGACACTGAATGGCACTCAAATGGATCGATCAATGGATGAATGGATGGATGGATGGATGATGCACTATATAGTAGATATGCCACCCACACACACACGCACACACACACACGCAAGGCACCCCCCACAGGAAAGCATGAAGAGAGCAGAGCAGCACGAATGAATGACACCTACGACACGCAACACAACATGCCACACACACAGCTTTGCATTCACGGCATTCACGGCAGCACACCACATGACCTGCACAGTTTGGTTGACCCATCCCCTGACGGATACAAACTTCCCCCTGCAACCAACCAGGAACCAGGGAGGGAGGGAGGGAGGGAGAGAGGGAGGGTGGGAGGGAGGCTCTCACTGCATCCACGCGCACAATGGACACGCACACACGCACACACACACAGACATGAAAAACACACCTTGTGCGCGAGCGATAAGCTAGGCACCTCTCTCTGTCTCTGTCTGCCTCTCTGCTGCACACAGCACAGCACCGAGGGGCTCGAGGGGGAGGGGGAGGGAGGGACCAGCCGACAGACACGGGGCGGGCGCATACAAACAAATAGATACCTTACTTGCGAGTAGATAGATAGAATCAGTCCATCAATGGACGTACGGACGTACGAGGAGAGGACAGTAAATACAGAGAAAAAACACCTGTCTGTCTGTCTCGCTGGCTCACCTGAGTGCAGTCACAGCGTTACCAACACCCACACGCACACGCACACCCATCCATCCCATCACGCACAATCACAATCACGCAGCACCTTCCTCCCTCCATCAACCCCCCCCACCGCCCCCCCATCCACCCCCCGCATCACAGCCGTTTGGTGCCGAATGCCGGCAGGTGGGGGTCCGCATCAGCGTAGTCCGCCCCACCACGGTTCTGGTCAGCCCCGCCTTCATGCTCGCTGATGTCAGGGTGGTCGTTGGTGAGGGCCACTCGTGTCTTCTGCTTGCTGAGCCCCTGTGTCTTGCTGTTGTACGAGTAGGGGTGCCTCTGCTCCCTGCGGATCTTGTGCAGCATCTTGCCGACGTGCCCCATGTGCAGCAGCGACCGCCGCACGCCGTACGAGTTGAGGAGGTAGTACATCTGCAGCTCGCTGCTGTTGAAGAGGTACTTGAGGGCCGACCACCCCAGCAACGGGGCCAGACACACCACACCGAGGGCAAAGTGCCATAACCTACCAAAAAAGGCAAGCAAGGCGACACACATGAGGCCTCACAGAGAGAGAGGGAGAGGCGACATGCCTGATAGTTTCGACGACAACTGGCCACGTAATGACGCCAAAGCACTCGGCGAGTATGTTGGCGAGGCAGAAGAAGGCGATGAAGGATGCGGCCATGCCGCCCACGATGGTGCCGAAGGTCAGCCGATGGGTCTCGGCTTGCACCAGCAGATACATGAACAGACCCACCAGGGCCACGCCGATGACCCCCGTGAGCATCGACACACCACGAGAAGCCACATTCGACACACACGCACAGAAGCCGTTCACCTGAACCAACACACACACACCCACCCACACACACACACACACAGATGGCTGAGAGAGCCGTTGACCGTGTGTGTGATGTGCCGTGTGCGGTGGGTGTGTACGTTTCTGTCTCCTGGTTTGTAGAATTTGGGGTGGTGGTCCTTGTTGTGTGTGGAAATGGCCATGGACACCACCAGCAGCGCCATGAAGATGGCGGGGGTCAGCACGGGGCTCCGCTCAATCACACGCCAGGCATACTCGAGCGAGAAGGACATCCACTCCCCCTCCTTCACCACCTCGTGCCACGGCCTATAGCACAGACACACACACATCAGCCATTGCAACAATGCTGGATGTGTGGGTGTCTGTGTGGGTGTCTGCGTGGGTGAGGAAAGAAGGTACCAGTTGGCTGCCTCTGCAAAGCAGAGTGCGAGGAGGAGGAAGCGCAGCTCGCGGACGAGTATGATGACTTTGTTGAGGGGCGTGGCGCCGTTGCGGAACTCCATCTGCTGCTTCCACCAGGCGTACCAACTCTCGCTCACGTCATGCTTGTTCTGAGACCACACACACACACACACACACACAACACACTCGTTGGTCGGGTGTGTGGGGTGAGAGGGCGTGGGTACCTTGGATCTGATCCAGTTTTGCCAAGCGTTGAAGTCCGAGACGAGGTGCCCCCAGGAGAGGCCCATGGGGTTGTAGAGGTGCGGCAGGTACAGGAACGACACCACCACAAACCACAGCCACCACACACGGATCCCAACTATCGGAAACATGTCCTGCAGAAACTGAAACACCGAGACCACACCAGACCCACACACCCACACACAGACCACGTCGTGTGGTGTGCGATTGATTGCAGCGTGTTGTGTTGTGTTGTGTCCATTCCATTCCCCCCGCCCTCCCTGTGTGTGTACTGACTGTACGTGTAGGTATATGAGCAGCAGCAGGAGTTCCATGGCGACTTGGAAGTGGGAGTAGAAGTATGCCTTCCACAGGTGGATGAGGTCCTTGTGGTTGATGCTGAACCCGCGACCGGCGCTCAGGTACCTCGCGCGACCGAACAGCAACGTCTCATCGAAACCCCCCGTCCAAGTCCCAACTACACACACACACATAAACGGACTGAGATGCGCCGGAGCGTATGTGGGTGTGGTGGGTGCGTGCAGGTGTAGTCTACCTGAGAATGTGTAGTGCAGGAGTGAGAGGGAGCGGACGTGCTGCCAGAGGTGCTTGATGCCCTCACTCAGCCCTTCCTCCAACGACATGACCGCAAAGAACCTGCATGCCATGCCATGCAGCCACATATGAATGCATAACACGGATTATATGGACGGTGATCCTCCTTTTCCCCTTTCCCACTGGCTCCTCTCTCTCTCTCTCTCTCTGACCTGGTGTAGAATAGGGCCAGGAGGATAAGCCAGACTTGGTCCATCAGAGTGATGGCCGCACTCTCCCTCCCTATCAACACCGGCTGCAGCGCTGGCGGAATCACAGCTGACCACACACACACACACACACACACATCCCGCAACCATCCCGTCCGATCATCCCCGCCGCCCCCACCCACACCCACCGATGAATGCGTGAAGGAAGAGTCGTCCATAGAGGAACAGCCATATGGCGAAGAACACCAGTGGGTTGA